TTCAAGCAGATAAAAACACAACAAATAAAAGATAATACTTTAAAAAGTAATAAACAAAATCTCGTTTACAGACGGGGACGGACAAGCTGATTCCAATATAACCCCAGCCCCAAAAAACTTTGTGAGGCTATAATTAAAGCTGTAAAATTTTGTGCTTTAATCAATATATTTCAGGTCCTTTTTCTGAATACTGTCTTTTGTATCAAATATCAGCCCATTCATATGTTTTCTGTTGGTAGTGGTCACTATAAATTCAATTCCCAGTGCTTGCGCAGTATTTCATTTAGTATTACATATGTGTTTCAGTTGGGCTAAAGTAATGCAAGTTTTTTGAGTAATTGAAGCAGTGCAAGTGTGAAAATTTCTGAATGTCCTTTAATTAGGTAATCTGATTTGAATAACACTAGCATATTAGTCGCCCGCGTGGCGCAGTGGTTAGAGCGTCTGCTTTAGAGTCGCAAAGTAAGGAGTCTAACCTTTCTGTCGCGGGTTGGAATCCCACTGTGGGACGTGGAGACCGGTCCTTCGGATGAGAACGTATAAACCGAGGTCCCGTGTCGCAGTAGGTGCTGGCACGAAAAAGATCCCTCACTGCACAATGGCCGTAAGTGCCGAGTATAGGACAAAATTTGCAGCTCTCCACCGGCAAGTGGTGGCGTCTCCATATGAGTGAAAAATTCTCGAGAAGGACGTAAAACAACATACAAACAAACAAACACTAGCATATTATTATAAGGAGGGAAAAGGACAGATCAAGTGAAATGTATGTCTTATCCAAGGACAGAGGGTAACCAAGAAGGGGGGGGGGGGCACTGCAGATGTTAACCATCCATTCCCCCTAGCTGATACACTGTTCAGTGCAGGTAATCTAAAATGAGAATGAAATCATACCTGTTGTTTTCTTTCGTTTTGTTTTTGTTAATTGCACTCTCGGCAGAAAATCAGAATCCGAAGAATCTGTAGAACGGATGTCGGTCATTAAGTCGTAATTCTGCATGAGCTGAAAAACACATCCAAATTTTAATGTCCAGACTCCATATTTGAAGTCCTATGATTATAAAGTGAAACTTGTTTAGTACGAACAAAGATATTGCGGATTTATGGATATAGCGAAGTTATCTCCAATCATGGATTCCCAGCTATGTAAATTTAACAAATTCCTTATAGGGAAATAGCGAGATATATATATATATATATATATATATATATATATATATATATATATATATATATATATATATATATACTTTTTTCTTAGTCAAAAGGTAGAGACGGGCTTTTTGCTGGTGCTCTTGTTCATTCTCAACCCACTCTCTTACAGTTGTAAAGTTTTCAGGACTTATTATAATTTCTTTGAATGTTCCAGGTTCAGTGTCCATGCACACAAATTTTCCTCTAGAACTTTTCCCTCCTGGAAAAAATTCTTCCTCAAGAGTTGTTTTAGTTTCCTCATATCCAGCACTGCGGGGTAGTAAAATTGTTGTTATCCCAGTTTCCAGAAATCTGGACTTTTTTGTCCCCCTACACATCTTTCTTGAAATAATTTCTTATTGATACCCTTTTGAGTTTTGTAACATAATTCCTCTGTTTTCTAAATTCTTCCCAGTTCTTATCTGTCTTGCACTTGTCATACTTATTTTTCAACATTTGTTTTTTGTAAATAGCCCTCCTTAAGTCACAATTCATATAGGGTACACTATTTGTATGTTTACGCCTTTTTTTCCAAGGTGCATGTTTGTCTGCAACATTTATAAATGCTTTTTCAAAATTTGTATAATTTACATTTACTTCTGAGGCATCATTTGCATCTGGGGGTGTTTCAATTTTTTGTAAGTCTACAAGGTAAGATTGTTCATCAAAATTCTTAAAACTTCGAGTTAAAATGACAGAGTTTATAGAGTTTGTGATGCTAGCCTTGATAAAGGTTCCAATAAAATTGTGACAATCACTAACTCCAAAAAAAGTTCAGATTTCTGGAAAACTATCAAACCATTCCTATCCAAAAAATCAAAGCCTGCAGAAAACACAATCCTTTTATGTGAAAATGACAAGATTTTGAATGATCCAAAAGAAACATGCAACACTTTTAATGAATTTTTATGCTAATGTGGCAAGTGAAATAGGGAAAAATGTAGTTTTTAATGAAAAAGATCATTGTAGTCTGAATGCCATCAGGGAAAATGTTGCATTTACTCAGAAATTTGATTTTAAGAAAACTGATGAGTATGAAATGACTAAGTTAATAAATAAACTTAATGTTAAGAAATCTACTGGTGTAGATACAATATCTGCTAAACTTCTGAAATTTGGAGCACCTGTTCTGAGTAAACAAATTTCGATTCTAATAAATCAGTCCATACATAAGGATACTTTTCCCAATAGACTAAAACAAGCTCAGGTCATCCCTTTGTACAAAAAAGAAGACCCTCTGTTAAAAACTAATTATAGACCTGTCAGTATTTTACCTACTGTGTCAAAGGTTTTTGAGAAAGTTTTGAGTGTACAACTCTCTGACTATTTTGATGGAATTTTTAATAATGCTCTGTGTGCATTTAGAAAAGGTCATGGATGCCAAACTACACTAATGCGACTCCTAGAAGACTGGAAAATGGCTCTAGATCAAAATTTAAATGTAGCTGCTATTTTAATGGACCTCTCTAAGGCTTTTGATTGTCTGCCACATGATATACTATTAAGTAAACTCTCTGCTTATGGTTTAATCAAATTCTGTTTCCATTCTGAGGAGCTACTTGTCTGAACGTTTTCAGCAAGTGAAACTTCAGGGAGTTGTCAGTAGTTGGGTTGGTATAAAAAAGGGAGTGCCACAAGGTTCTATTCTTGGACCATTACTTTTCAATGTTTTTATAAATGACATTTTTTATTTCATAAAGAATGGGTCTTTATATAACTATGCAGTCGATAATACTTTACCCTACTGGCATAAGGAATTTGACACTTTGATAAGTACTTTGCAAGATGAAATTTCTGTATTATTGAAATGGTTTAAAGAAAACTGTATGCAGGCTAATCCAACTAAATTTCAGGCTATTGTCTTGGGTAAGAAAACTTTTGAAAAAAAACAAGTATTTAGAATTGATGATGCTGAAATCTTGTGTAATGAAACTGTTAAATTATTGGGAGTTGATATTGATTTTATGCTCAAATTTGATGTTCATATTAGTAATGTCTGCAAAAAAGCTGCCCAACAATTAAATGTTCTAAAACGCATTGGTTCAGTTTTAACTCGGGCAAACAAAATTACTATATTTTATAGTTTTATATTGTCAAATTTTAATTTCTGTCCTCTTGTTTGGCACTTCTGCTCAAAGAAAAACAACTGAAAAATTGAAAAAAAAATCAGGAACGAGCTCTACGTTTTATTTATGAAGATTTGGAAAGTAGCTATGAATCTTTGCTACGTAAGGCAAAATTACCATCATTAGAAGTTAGAAGAATGCGCAGTATGGCTCTGGAATGTTTTAGGATTTTACATGACCTTTCTCCAAGATGTCTGTCAGACCTAGCGAGTTTTAAGAAAGTAACATATAATTTTAGATATTTTAGAAATACCCAAAGTTAGAACCTCTTCTTATGGTAAAATGTCTTTTAGATATGCAGCACCAGTATTATGGAACTCCTTACCTGAAAATTTTAAATCTCAAACTAACTTTTTACAGTTTAAATCTATGATAGCCTCTTGGAGCGGTAAGGACTGTGGGTGCACAGCCTGCTCCACTAGGTAAGTTATGTAATCTTTGTTTGTGTGTCTGTACTTGTGTGTCTTACATATGTTATCTGATATGTTCTCTTAATGTGACTGTGTGCTGTACTGTTTGTTTATCTGTATATGTATGTATTTTATCTGGTGTGTTTTCTTAATGTGACTGCGTGCTGTACTGTTACAAGTAATTCTATGTTTATAGTGCTGCATGTTTCATTGTTTTACTGTTATGTAATTTTACTGTTATGTATATGTTAATAATGTCAGTCAAAAGCTCATTAGAGCTTGTGTTGTCTTTTTAACTACCAAACTGACTTTAAATAAAGCTTATCTTATCTTATCTTATCTATCTTAGTTCGCTTTTTTACTGTATTTTTAACCTGTTTGTACCGTTTTTCGGCGTAACTGTAATTCAGTCATCCTATTGGTAATCTTAATGGCTTGTGCTTTTCCTGAAATATAAAAAGTCAGTATTGGTAACCAAAGTTTCAAAAAATGAAATACTGAATCAAAATAGCTAGGTTTAAGATTATTTTTTTCAGTGGGTGGGTACCTGCAGATCTGCACCTGGCTGGTCTAAAAAAAATTAGATGAATGACAAGAGAGCTATGGTGCCAACCACTGAAAAAAGTCTATATTTATTGCACATTGAAACTGGTGTTTCTTGATTTTTTTTTCACTGTCTTCTCAAAGTATTGCTATAATTGCATGTTTCTTACATATTGTTTTAATTACTATTTCCACAGCAAAATATTCCTTGTAACCATTGATATTAGTTTAACTGCATGGGCTTGAAATTGAAACCTTCCAAATTTTAGCCTAATTTATGATGCTGCTGTAGTATAAATACGTTTATTTATATCGGGTTCGGGGTTTGGTCTGTGGTCTATGTGATTACAGATCACCTATTTTTAGTGCCTTTCCTTTATCCGACACTGAGGAGTGCAGACGTATCTCCGTCCTGTCCGGTGTTTTCGGGTTTGAGGCCATTTTACCCTTGGTAAGAATAATTGTACAAATTATATAGAATTATACAACATTGGCGACGAGGATAAACTGGTTATATTTTTTTCTGATCAAGTGAAGTTTACATTGTTTACCGTCGTCACTGAGCGTTTGGCGCCAAATTCAAAACAAAACACAATTCGATTTATTATTTTTCTTTACTGAATATTTGGTTGAACAATTTATTTCATTTTACAATCACTGGTTGTTTACACAACTAGTTTCCTTTTCCTTGGTGGTATTTTTCCCCCTTTGATAAATTACCGATTTCACAATGGCTCCAATCAACATGCAAACAGCTTCTGAATTTGAAATGTCAAAGATCCTAGATCATCGCATCATTACTGATGTAATAGGGGTTAGGAAAAGATACGAGTTAAATGCAAATATCCTTGGTAAATATACAGATGTACCAGAAAAACAATGGAAAAAATGGGAAGAAAATCAAATAGTTTCCTTTGGGGGAGCTACTAGCTTACAGTCAGATTTGTTCTATGATATGAGAGATCTTGATACTAGCATGAGAGAGTTGAATGTGAAATTAGAGAGACAGGAAGAGGAATTGCAAGCTGAGAGAGAGAGAAGAAAGAAAGCAGAGTTTGCATTAGAACAAGAAGCCCAACAGAGAAAATGGTTAGGTGCAATGCCAGCAGATAGCATATACACAAGAAAACCATCTGACAGAAAACAATCAGAAACAAAACAAAACAGAAAAAGCAAAATACATGATACAAAAGACACACATATTCACTCAAAATCAAACATGTTTGACAACACATATGATGAAAACACAAGAGGTAGGAAATATCATAGAAAAACAAGGTATCAATCCTCCTCCTCCTCCTCCTCCTCATCTTCACTGTCATCATCATCTTCCTCCTCCAGTAGTGACTCTGACTATGACAGACACCATCACCGACGCAGACACAGACAAAAAAGTCGCAGTCCAACATCAAAATTACAAACATTTAGTGGTGATGGAAAAATCAGTTGGGATACATTCATCACACAATTTGAAAGGGTAGCTGACAGGCATGATTGGGGAAAAAAGAAGCGTACTGACAAATTGTTAGTAGCTTAGATGGACAAGCTTTCGAATATGTCTGTAAGCTTAACCTAGACAGTTACAAAAAGATCAAGAAGGAAATGAGCAGGAGATTCAATACCAAAGAGAACCCTATCTCAGCTAGACGCAAGCTGCAGTACATGAAACAACATGAGGATGAATCACTCCAACAATTTGCACAAAGAGTTCACTTCATCACCATTGATGGTTACAAAGAATCGGGCAAGAAAGCAGTCAACCAAATTTCAACAGAAAATTTCCTTAGAGGGTGCAGAGATAAAGAAGCTGCTAGGACAGTTATGGAAAAGAATCCCAAAGACATCCATGAAGCTCTAGACTTTATGAGGACTTCAATTGCTAACCAGCAAGCTGTTTATGGTGCTAGCAAGTCCTACTATCACAGACAAGTTTCATTTGAACCATCACCAATGCAACAAACCAAAAAGTTAGAACAAATGGAAGACAAAATTTCAAAACTTACAGATATGGTCTTCAGTATTAAGCAAACATTAGATGACAAATTTTCCAATGGTGGGGCTCTAAGAAATGCACCAAAATTTCAATCTAGGTCAAGGTCAAACAGTCCCATAAATTATGGTCAACCTTCAGATCCAACAGTCCATTCAAAAGCACTCAAAATTCAACAATACAGAACAAGTCAAATCAAACATTTAGCAATTCTAGATCTCCATCTCCCTTCAAGTTTAAATACAGAACACCAAGTCCATATAGGTCTACTCCAACAATATCATAATCCTCAGCTAACTCCCCAATTTCTTCAGAAAATTTAAACTCCAGGTAACCAGTCTAGTTGACCGTAGTCTGGTTAATGAAGAAAAAGGTCAGAATCTTCAAGTCAATGTCAATGAAAATTCAAAAGGTTTGACTCTGGAGATTCCTTTTGTTGTCCATGGCCATCAAACAACAGCAGTTGTTGACACAGCAGCTATGATGACCCTGGTCAATAAAGGTATTTTCCCGGGTGAAAACAATTCCACTCTAACATCACAAAACATTACACTCAAAGGTTAAGGTGGACATGAAATAACAGGGCAACTGTACAAAAATGTCTCATGTCAGATAGGATCTCAATCATATTCTATTGATATGTATGCAGTTGACATGAAAGATACAGTAATTTTGGGGTTAGACATTTTAGAGGCCAAGCATTGTGTCATTGACCTCAGGAAAAATGTTTTAGAAATTGGCAAGCAAACAATAACAGCAAATATAAAGAACATACAAGGTGAACAAATCAAGGTTGCAAGGGTAACTGTTCAAAGTAGATCTATCATACCAGCAAATTCAGTGGGGTTTGTAAATTGTTCTCTAAGTAGGCCCCTTGACACCAATTTCATAGTAGAACCCTTTAGTTCTCCAGAATTTTTGTGTTCTTCAGTTCTTGGTAAAGGTGAGACTCTGGAAGTGAAGGTTGACATTGACTCAAACAAAACTGTGAAATTAAAAGTAGGTCAACACATTGGAAATGCAGAGTCAGTAGAAATTGTAACAAATGAAATAGATCTTCAACCTGTCATTAAAAGAACATCCATTGACAATAGCACACCCACAAATCTTGCACTACCTATTCATATTCAAGATCTTTTTGATAGGTCAAGTGTAGGATTAGATCAAGAGCAGGTCAAAAAGTTGTTTGTTACAAGAATATTCAGACATATTTTCCACAGGGGAATTAGATCTAGGGTGTCTAAAAGGTGTAAAACACAGTATTGATACAGGAAATGCCCCTCCTGTAAAACAAAAGTTCAGAAGAACACCTCCAGGGTTTCAAGATAATGAAAAAGAGCACTTACAGAAATTATTAGATGCAGGAGTCATTACCCCATCTTCTTCTGAGTGGGCATCTGCTCCAGTTTTAATCAAGAAAAAAGATGGTAGTGTCAGATATTGCGTAGATTTTAGAGATCTAAATGCTAGGACTGTTAAAGATTGCTATCCAATACCCCTTATTTCTGACTGTATGGATGTTCTGTATGGCACCAAATTCTTTAGTACTCTGGATTTAGCCATGGGCTATTATCAAATTGAAATTGAGGAAAATAGCAAACAGAAAACAGCTTTTTTGACTAAATATGGCCTCTTTGAACACCAAAGAATGGCTTTCGGGTTGTGTAATGCCCCCGCAACCTTTCAAAGGGCAATGGGACTAGTCTTGAGAGGTATGACTTGGGAAGAACTTTTAGTTTACCTAGATGACATCATAGTCTTAGGCAAAAATTTCTCTGAATCATTAGAAAACCTCAGAAAAGCATTTGAAAGATTTAGAAAATACAACCTAAAATTAAAACCAACTAAATGCACTCTATTCAGACAAGAAGTAGAATTTTTGGGTAGAATAATCAATTCTGAAGGTGTACATATTTCCCCAGATAAAATTAAAACTATTAGTGAGTGGCCCATCCCTCAAGACAAAACCCAACTCCAGGCTTTCTTAGGGTTTGTTAATTACCACAGAGACCACATTAAGAATTTTGCAAAATTAGCAATACCCTTATATGACTTGCTTCAAAAGAATACTAAATTCAACTGGACCCAAGATCACCAGAATGCTATGAATGACTTGAAAACTGCTTTGACCAGTCCAGAATGTCTCAAATTCCCAACTCCAGATGGTACATTTTTACTGGACACCGATGCCTCCCATCATTCCATTGGGGCAGTCCTATACCAAATCAATGATGGTAAGGAAGAGGTCATCAGTTATGCCAGTCACACATTACTGAAAGGACAACGTAGATACTGTACCACAAGAAAAGAGTTACTTGCTGTGGTTAAGTTCTGTCGGCATTTCAGACATTACCTCATTGGTAGGCCATTTATCATCAGAACAGATCACAACAGTCTCACATGGTTGATGAGGTTCAAACACACTGAAGGTCAACTGGCTAGATGGCTGGAGGAATTATCTTCTTATGACTTCCAGATCAAGCACAGATCAGGATCCTCTCATGTCAATGCTGATTCTTTGTCAAGGATTCCTGAAACGATTCCAGACTGTGACTGCTATGACGCTGGAAAGTCGCCTAACAGTCTTCCTTGTGGTGGATGTCATTATTGTACTAGAGCTCACAATCAATGGTCAAGATTTCAACTGGATGTGGATGATGTGATTCCACTAAGTATTAAATCGGACAATCTCTCTTCACCAAAAATACTGTACACAACCTACCCACAAACACAGCAACAGCACATTCAGCCAACTCTTTGTAATTGGTCAGAAACAGTCACAGATCAAAAGTTAGGTCAGCAACAAAAAGATGATGCAAACGTAAGTCCCATTTTTCATTGGTTAGAAAAACATATAGAACCATCTGAATTTGAACTCAGACTAACCAGTCCTGAAACTAAGGCTCTTTGGTTATGTAGAGATAGACTTTTCATTCAAAATGGTGTATTGTTCTATGAATGGGTGAAGTGTCCTGACAGAATGGTTTGTATTGTAGTCCCCGCATCTTTGAGACAAAAGGTACTTTCCCTGTCCCATGATACAAAATTTGAAGGCCATTTAGGGATAGAAAAAACTTTAGCAACATTGAAATCTTCTGCATTTTGGCCCAATATGACAACTGACTGTCACGATTATGTAAAATCCTGTTCTGTATGCAATACCAACAAAAAAACTACCAAAACTGCTAGGGCTTCTTTAAAAACATTTCAAGCTGGTTATCCCATGGAAAGGGTTCATCTTGACATTCTTGGCCCTTTTCCCCCAAGCGAGGCCGGAAATATGTATATTTTGGTTATGGTAGATCGATTTTCAAAATGGATAGAAATAGAACCTATACCAGATCAAAATGCAGAACAAATTGCAAAAATGTTTGTAGAACATTTCATTGTTAATTTTGGCTGTCCATTAGAAATATTTACAGACCAAGGTAGACAGTTTGAATCGAAATTGTTCAAATCACTATGTCAATCATTGGAAATAGCAAAGAAAAGAACTACTCCTTACCATCCTAGTTCTAATGGTCAAGTGGAAAGATATAACAGAACAATCGTTCAAATGATTCGCTGTTTCGTGGAAAATAAAAACAGAGATTGGGATAAACATCTTCCTCTATTAGGCATGGCCCTGAGAGCAACAGTTCACAAACAAACAGGGTTTACTCCCAATAGGTTAATGTTAGGTAGGGAAGTCATCCGCCCACTCCATCTCATGTCGGGTACACAGGATCAGATCCTAAAGCCTTGTGAACCTTCTGTTTGGGTTCAGGAGTTGGAGAAACATCTGTCTGAAGCCCATGAAATTTGCAGGTCTCACATAAAATCCTCACAACTTAGGCAAAAGAAAAATTATGATTTAAGAGTTTTTGAAAATAGTTTTCAAACTGGGGATATAGTTCTATTAGCTAATTCGGCAAGCAAAGTGGGTCAATCAAGAAAATTAAAATCTCCATGGAAAGGGCCTAACTTAGTGGTTGATACAAACCCCCCAATTGTATAAAATTCAAGACAAAAAAGGGGAACATGTGGTACATCATGACAGAATAAAACTTTGTAATAGCCCAGTTCCATTCAGCCTCAGACAGATGAGAAATCAATAATTTTCTGAAGACGAGCAGGGTGATGTCACTGGTGAATCCACTGAAACCCAGGTTACTAATGTGTCTGTTGGGGAAACTAGTGGCATCACTCCACCAGAGGTTTCTCCGGCTTCTGGACCTCCACGAGAGGTTTCTTCAGCTTTTGAACCCTATAAAACAGAAAATACATGTACTACAAGAATAAGAGGGGGGAGAATAGTCAAGGCCCCCAGATACTTGAAAGATTACTGTAAATAGATGATATTTGTGACTACATGTACTATTTTTATGCTTGATTAAATGTACATTTCAGAAAGCTCTTTTAAAACATCACTTGTAAATATTAATCTGATAGTTGAAAGAAGTTTACACTTCATCAACAATTTATCTTTGCATGGTGAGAAAGCTGACATTTTTTTTCTTTTAGTTTAATTGAAACTCACTTGGATATTATTTCTTTAGCGATCATCT